CAATTGCTGCTTCTGTTGTGTGGCAAAGGCAAAGAAGATTTCATAAGTCACCACACTACCAGATTTATCACTCCGAAAATGAATGTCTAGATTCGAATAAATACACTTCGATTGCTCCAAACTTTCAGAGTTCACAGACAGGATTCAGAACACGGGGAACCAACGAAAAAAAATGTCACATTCACATTTAGTTGCGTCAACAAAACATATATCTTTGACATCTCAACTTAGACAAAGGTTTTATCAATTAAGACAAAGGTTTCAAAGATTTCTTAAATAATGGAACCCATTTGCACAATGGCGATATATGGATGTTGTCTCTAGTGCTAAAATGCAATGTCTAATGAGCGGAGGAAAGCTTCGAGAACTCGGCGAGATCTCGGGGGACCAGTCAACACCAATTGGTGTTGAATATGCGACCAAACTAAGTCTGTATCTACATCACCCGATGCCAAGATAATACCAAAGAAAGAATGTAACATATTGAATATATAATATATTCTTTTCCAAATATGATTTTGAGGTAATTAACAATAAACATTTCAAAGTAAAGAGTCGCTGACTGCAATATTTGCAGACTTTGTCATCTAGATTACTTATGAGCACAAACACTCAAGCACTTGATGTAACGTTTTATATTCTTTCTTTTGCAACAAAAACGATTGTGTGTAAATATTTGTCTTCCCATAAAAAACTCACAAATTTTACACATATTCCATTTACCTACAACAGGTATTTTCTGTTGCCTTCAAACTCATTCAACCGTAACAATGGGTACGGTAATGCACTCCTCCGGAATCTTATTGTACTCTTGCTTTTTTATACACCTACCAAACCCTGTTTCCCTATAATGCAGAGGTAATGAAGCTCGATTTTTATTTGGTCTATCAGGGCTATCATCGCAATAATTATGGATCATTAATGCCAGGAAGAAGTGGAGCGGATCCATGATCCATAAAAAAGTGCGTACACCTGCTTTTAACAGACGCCTATAATTGCAATGTGTTGTGTGTGATATCGAAGAAACTCGAAACCGAGGACCACATTCTATTATAAACATTTTACCAAAAAAATAACATCACTATCAAGAAATTGATCGGTAAGGCAATAATTAGAGGGTTTCTCCAAGGGTGAGCCCCGAGTCTAGGAATTTTTCTGATCTTATCGACTCAAACTTCAATCCAAAAAGAATAAAATAGAGCATTTATATTCAATTAACCACGCCGTTATCAATTTGGAACAAAAATAATCACGAAGATATGGCGATTTTAAATCATTCATTATCAACTGAACTTATCTTCATTAATTGGATGTGCATTATCAACAAGATATCTTTCATAGTAATTTCTGATTATACAGCACAACAAAACAATTACACTAAAAAAAAGACTTCTTTTTATTGACCTCCATTGTTTTAAGTGTGAAGAAAGTTAAACTATTAATATGCGCATAATTTCAGAAAGGAAAGTTGATGTGGATATTAATTATAAGTTATATACAGTGTAGTTTAATAGAGAAAAATATAAAATATTTGACATGCATTATTTGGACTATCAGCCTCCATCTTCATAAAACAATTTTTTTTTTCAATCACTCTTCGGGTACAACCCTTCTACCCAACCCCAACTCACCCCCTACACCCCGAAGAAAGAAGGAAGAAAATAAGAAGCAGAAGATCGAAGAATGACTAAAGCCAATGAAAGTCTACAAACAGAATCTGTCTCCGACTTGAGAGCGAGCCCTTTCTACGCGTCCATCCAAGCAGAAGGGGTCGCGCTCGACCAGTAAATCGCTCCTTTTACCGCTTTAATAGTGGGGACTAAAGCCAAACTATGGACGGGGAGTGAATTTCACTTTTTTTCTTAATGTAATTCATAAGAAATCGGAGACGAAGTCATTTGAAAGCCATTAGAGATATCTTCCCATTATGGCACGGAGGTGACCCATGCTGGAGAATTTACCGACCATCTTAAATCCGCAATCACCCCAGGAACATCATTTTTATTCCTACGCCAGTGAAATAGATTTTTATTCGATAATTAGATTTATACAGATACATTTTAAAAGGAATGTTTTCTTTTTCTTGTACCAATCGTTATCCCACAAAATGTAATTACAAAGTCGCTCAAACCTATAGATGCAAAAAATTTCACTTTTTCATGTTTTTCCAAGATTTTTTTTATCTAAAAGTCATAAAATGAGAATGTGGAGTTAACTAAAATAGTCTATCGTTGATAACCCGAATTACTTAATGTAAATGGTACGATAATGACACTTATATGCCAGATTTGTGTTTTTTAATTGTCTAGTCGTCTTGGCACAATTGTCTGTATTTATTGTTGAGGAAGAGCTTTAAGGAGGCACTGATTCAGCGATCGGTTACTAAATCTACGGACAAAGAAGAAAATCAGCGATACAATCTACAGATAGACGATCAGGAATCAGAAAGATTAGCCCCTAGTAATGGTGGACTGTTGATTAATGTCTGTTTAACAGGTATATTCGTACCTACCCTGAAGAAATACATAGGTCGTTATAATCACCCTGTGGTCGGAGCAGAACCTTCCTTTATATTAACATGTTCACTGCTTTCTTGTTTCGACAGAACACTATTTTGTTTATTTATCATTATATTCAACATATGATTAGCTCTGACAAAATACCTTCCAAACAACACACGATGATGATGAATTAGATTTAGTACGCTGCCTCAGAAATAACCACCCCATGGTGAAAAAAATATCGAGAGGAAATGGAAGTGATTTAGAAACCAGGAAAAGGAAGGCAGATCTTATCTACAACCTGATGGCTATAACGCAGTGTGTCCGAGACCAAATCAAGCCTTGACCATGGCGAAAAGATGAAATGAACAAAATCTGGAGGTTCACAAGGGAACAATGAAGCACAACACACTAAAAGTTGGCAAGATTTATTTTGGACCACAAATTTAACAAGGATCCATTGTTGAAAAACAAGTCATACAACGGAGATATATTTAGAATACAATGTTGGTGGCAAGATATGAGACAATATTCCATCACAAAGACCTTTACCCTTCGTGAATGGATCCCCCCTATTGCGGGTAAAATCACATTGACCCAGGGCACGGGAGGGAAAAGTACGAGATAAGATAAAATTGAAGTAGCAAGCACGCACATTAGTGAAACACATAGAAAGATACAAAAATATAACAAACATAAATAACAAAAAATAAAGGTAAAATGATTTCATAAACCAAGTCAAGCATAATAATAAGAAATCCTAGACTTCTGCGTGTCAGCAACTAAGACAGAATACAATAGCAAAGTCCTTAACAGATAAACTTCTCAAAATGTATGAATGAAGATTACAGGAACAGTTTCATCCGTTTTGAATAGAATTATTTGAATGAATATAAAATATGTACACTTATACGCATTCAAGAGATCATTTTTACATACATTGTCAACCAAAGCCAAACAAAGATGGAAGAATACAATAACCACCAACCCTTGACAGGTAAGCCATGAAATAACGATATGGACAGGAAATACATGAAAAATTAGAATCGGATATTTTTGGCAGGAAGATCAGATGTGATACCACAGACAAAAGACTGAAGTAAAGTGTTCGCCTGACCTCAAAACTATCTGCCCGACTGACTTGAGTGTTTTATAAACAAAGAAGTATACAGAATACATGGGGCATTGGCAGGGTGCTCTATCTACACGACAAGTTCAAAGATTAGAGTCAAATTAACATCATATGGTAACAACATACAAAAACATGATTTATGGTTTTTAACAATAACTTTGGGATCAAATTTGGGTGAAGAGTTGACACAGAAAAAAGCTTCCTTGAATCTTAATGTAGGTTTCCGCACCCTGTTGTATAAATTTAAGATACCCCTAGTGAACAATTTACCTGGGAAATACCTAGATATATTTTCTATACCTATACCTAATCACAGACCGTTAAGAACCGACAAAAAAATCTCCCAGGTCATTGCAAGGCATCTAACGAGCGAGACAGTGGTAACGTGTACTCCATTAAAAATTACACGTATTTATCATAGACATACGAATGCTTAAAAAGTCACTCATTTATTTTTTTTGTTCCTTTGGATTTTGTAAAGATTCCTGATTAATTTTAAGCTCTGTCAAGGCCTGAAGTAAGTGTCATTTTATTGACCAGGTTGCTGTCAAATTTACGACTTCACTATGATGACAATAACTGTTATAGGTCGTAAACCGGCTCACAAAACGCTCGTACTAACAGACGCTTCCCAAAGACTCACCAACTCGACTAGAATTGTTTTCTATCCAAAAGGGAATCATTTTGTAATAAAATAATTCTTCAAGCAATGAAATTATAAACATTTCAACAGCGCTGTGCAGTCTGCGTAATGTCGACAAGGCCTTAAAATAGTTTTGATTCGACATTCAATGAAATTAGGTGCTTTTTTTCTGTCTTGTTCATTTTTTATTGTGCATCATAAAACAAGATGAACATGTTTGCTGTCTATATTTCCATTGTGTAGAAGTGGTCATGAAAATACTCCATACTGTGTGTTTACATACACTTACAAGGGCATTTCGGTTTTGCTTGCACAAGCACAATACTTTATTACTAGTAAAATAAATTGTTTTAGTTTCACCTGTTTAATTTCCGCATAATTTCGTGAAAATTTAAGACTGGTAGGAAATTAAATTTTAAAAATTTTCAGCAAATTTGAACCATATTTTTTTTCATATTATTTAGTTATCAATCCTTTTTAATTTACTATGTATCCAATCATTGTTATGAAAATTAACCGTGTTTTTTTTTTTTTAGTTTATTAACTGTTTATGTATTTCCCTTGCGGTTTGGTTGCCATATAATTCCGGTTTTTTAAGGTTTTGCAGTAGAACATGCACTATCTTATTACACCACTATTGATCCGGTCTTGTAGGGGGAGTTACTACTTGGAATCAATAAATATAGTTCAGAATCCGGTATTTCTGGAAATACTTCTGCCTTACCTGTTGGTCCACCCCTTCCGTTGGATCCGGCGGATTATCCGAACTAGATTTGGACGTGGTGCTTCCCCCCTCTCGTTCATCTATCACTAAATCTATCGGCATTTTTCCTTTTAAACAACTGATGTACCGATGACAGAAATTGTCACAAAGTTCGTGCACCTAAAAGACAGAAACAAGTGACAGATTTAGAACAAGTTCGTCTTATCCGAACAAAAATCATTTTCTCTCACAATGGGAAGAGACAAGTTCTTTTGTGGATCCTTACACCTACTGTTGATAAAATCTATACCATTTATCACAAGTTTGAAATGCAGGAGTAAAGGTCATTGCAAATTTCATTCATCTTATCGTTGTAGTATTTTTGTGATGATAACTGGTGTTTTGATATGTGCATGTGGTCAGATAGGCTCTGAGGGATAACAGTGTGAACGATTACAAAATTGTTGTTAATCAACATGGAAAATATGTACATAAATAAAATTTACCTTTTCTAGTTCCAATAAATGAAATCGTAACACCTGTATAGCTTGAATCATCTGCAGTGAAGAAAAATAATGAAATAAATATTTTTTAAATATATTTGTTTGTAATAAAAACAGATCAGGATTTCCTTAAGCAAGAAGAATAATTTTTTAAATTCATTTTTTTTAAATAAAAAGAATCTTATTATTCTATTAAAAGGCAATTTGGTATCAGGGAAAGGTTTTTTAGCAGAAATATATTTCTTGCCAGATATAAACACAAAAAATCATTCCCAGAATCTCACTTTTCCCCTCACATAAACTATTTTATGTATATAGACCAAGTCGTTAAGAATTCTTACAAAACCATCTGGCCAATTTTTCATCAAAATTTTCGACCTAGCCATGTGTATTCGGCGGAATTCAATCCGAGCTATTCCCGTGTGTAACATGGTTCATTTACAAAATCTATCTCATCTGCCCGCTAACGCTATGCTTAACAAAAAAGTCATCTTTAAAAAATGTCTTCCTACTTGCCAGTAAAATTGTTTTAGGCCAATGTTTATTTCAAATTAATTAAATATACTTACCACGCTATCCAATTCGTGATTTGCGGAAAATAAAGGTTTTTCTGACCGGGCCTATGAATAAAAATTAAAAATAAAATTATAACATTTCTTAAACACCGAAAAATAACGTCAGAATTTTTTCACGAAAATAAAATATCAGACTATAGAATTTCTTAAATTTTGTCCCCATAAAAATTCAATCTATTTATTTTAATGCGATTTAAATTGGATAATCGGCCCCTGTTATCATTCAAATCAGGAATCCTGTTCTAACAACCATAAAATAATTTTCCTTGAAGGTGCAACGTATTCTTTTCTCCGCATTTGTTCCATTGATACGCTTGCGTGTCAAGAAATCAGCCAGTTAACCATGTTTTAATTATACATTTTCATGAATAATTATTTTTGAGGTTCCACAATAATGTCCTTGCATAAAATTAATATTTAAAACAATTCTCTCCTTTTCCCCTATTGAACATGCATTGTTCAATAATTCTTTTCCACGCTAACACAACGTAGGAAAAATTTTTCCGGTTTCTGCATCTCCTGTTTCTTGAAACAAAGCATCATTCGGGGTCCTCGGAGGTTAATGCTATTGTTTTCATCGACGTTATCCCCTCAGCTCGGCGAAAAGTTAATCACATAAGTGACCGGCTGGTTCACTCTGGGCTAAATCAGATTTGGTCTGAATATCGCATGAGGGACAGAGAGAAAATATTGCGTCGGGATATCACCAGAAAAACTACTTTAGAAAATAATAATAATCTACCACTTACTAAAACTTGTTTGCTAAAAACTGCTATGTCTTCGTTGAAAGATTCGGAGGAACACACGTCTCCTCCGGCCACTCCGGGTTCCCGAGGGGTACAGGTCGCTAGCTCACATTTTTCAAATATGAGGGCTAATAATGGGAATAATGGATGCCTACAAAGAATTAAAACAACAGTGTGAGGAAATTTCTACACATGAAAATGTCTGTGTAAATACTCGCCAAATTGTAAACATTCGTCAGCCATATTGATAAGGGGAGATAGGATTACCCTGATTTGTGCAGGAATGTTGTGGCTTTTATAAATCGTATATTATGCTAAGAATAAACCCAACTTCACGTTGTGTTTTGCAAACTTTTAATCACGAATAATAATTCTAAGTCTGTATGTTTCCCTCAGATAAGTCAAGGTTGATTTAAATGTACAATTATCCTGAATAAAACCACACGTCTTCATCTTTAAAATAATGTATTGGGAAGTCTTATAAAGCGTTTAAGGACACTTACCCGTATATTGCATCCTTATCTCTTTTTAACTGCGAGTCCTGAGATGAGTTAACGGGGGGCATAGAGCTGTTGGTGGAGTATGGGGGGTAATGATGCATCGATGACTGTTGATGAAGGGGGTGGTTTGGGAGGGACCGGTCGTACATACCGTCCGGCATCCCTCCCAGACCCCCACCCCCGGGGTAGTGTGCCGGGAGATCATTCTCAAACTACAAGGATGCAAAGAGAAACATTAATTCTAGTGTCCCTCCAGTAGAAATAGATAAATTGAATGTTGATGTGTTTTTTTTTCATCTTGTCTGGTCCAGTTAAAGACATCATACATTTTAGTGTGGTAAGAACTACGTACCCTTTGAGCCATGGACAAGGCTCATACGCTGTTCCCGGGCTCTCGTATAATTCCAGATATTATAATAAGATCCTTGATATGGAACAACACTGTGGTAAACTCCCTTTGGTATAAACAAATCTGTATTCCTGTCAAATACATGAGAAACTGTCAAACCAAGTGAACGTTATACCACAGTCAACACTTCTACAACTTAAACAACTAACCTGTCTAACTCATGGCTATTTCTCGCAATATGTCAATCAAAACCACGTTACTCTAGCAAGAAATAATGTACGAGCTGTCAAACAAACCCCGCCCCCTCCCATCAACTTCGGCGTTTATCTCAGATTTAAAACCCGTTTATTTAAATGTATAATATATGTAGATTTTGTTTGAATAAGTTTTCAGTCTCCTTTAAAATATTTCTCTAACTTAATATTCAATAAAACAAACATGGGGATGAGTGTATTTACATAATTAACTGAACTTTCAGAAACAATTTATTCATTTTACAAGCATGTCTTGGTAATTGTGGAGAGTGTTTTCATTGAATTTTAATATAATTTTCTCTTAAACTTGCGTGTGCTCACGAAACAGAAAAAACGTGCACATTTTCGATGAAAACATTCAATATTTAACAACTAAATCTATTTTTAAGCATAACATTTAGCTAATTAAAAAAAAGTAAAAAGTGTATGTTCAGAAAGGGAATAATATTTTTACCTTAGAATGTGAAACTTTAAGCCGCGAGTGAAGGAAATGGGATTTTGACACGTGAAGATGATCGACTTATTTTAAAAAGTCCGTTTTCTATCAACTCTCTAGTTTCAAGGTTCAACTGTTTCAAGACAGGTAGTAAATAAACTGTGATATAAGAGTTTTTGTAGTGTTTTGCCTAATTGTTATATTCACGCTGCTCTGATCAAGCCAATGATGGGCAGTGCAGTCAAGTGGCAAGCCCCGCCCACGGAAACGCCCCTTAACATATCATCCATAGTCACAACAGATTATCGGAGAAATTTTTGATACAAATGATTTTTAAATGATTGCAAGAATATCCAATATCGTCATTTATTATTTATATTCCCAATTGATGGTCAACAAATATCATTTAAAACATGTTCAGTCGGTAAACAATCGCACATATAAAGGATATTATCACAGATAAAAACAATGTGACAGATGCGTTTCAATACATTATCATAATAAACTATGTTATTTATCAAATCTCTGCAACTAAAAAAATGCTATATATTTATGTATATTTTTTATTTGAAGTTCTAAAAATACTTTTAATGTTTTGAAACATAAACAAATTCACTGTGTTGGGAGAAAATTTGTGAGACATGTCCTATAAAATTCTGATACACTGCGTAAAAATTTTATCTGTAAATGACGAACTTGGACGATTAGTCATGGCGTACGAAAAAAAAATTACAAGTACATATTATGTATATTAGACAGAGATACCTCGTGCACAAAAACATTTTATCGTTGATGATTTCTGCTGAAATACGTAAAAAAGGAATAAAAAATATAAAAGAATATTATGTATAAAATATAATCGATCACAAAGCAAATTTTGCTAATATTAATTCAAGATTTTTGCTGATTTGTGAATAATTCACTGGCAAAGATATATAAAATAGCAATGTAGCGACGACTTTAAAGTCATTGTTCAAACGACAATGGTTTTGACGGCAATTATATATGCATGAAACGCCAGAAAAGGCGATCGAAATAGTCGGCTAGAGACCCATTCCGTCCTCTTGTGGAAACTTAGATTACACCATTCCTAATGACCAGTCTCTTTCTTAACACCATGCGTGTATATTGTATTACAAGATAAATTCAAGACGAAGGCCCTATTAATTCATTTTTTAAGGGCTTCGCCCCAGCGCGGAAGAATAATTTTTGAATATACATACAAAAACATCATTAAAATTCAAGTCCAAAAATCACACTTTCCCAAATTAGTTACAAACCAGTTTTTATAGCTTGTTCTTTAATTTAGATTTTACTAAAGGAGAATAAATTAATTAAAAGCAAGGCGGAGGATTTATTAAATCGTTCGCCCGTTATCATAGTCGGCGTCAAAAGGTCGCAGACTGTAATAGATTGACAGATGAAAATTCCATCTATCTTAGACCAATCTGTAAAAGTCATCATATTCAGAACTGAGACGTCTTTACAATGAAGCAGACAGAAGAACAGTGTAATAAAAACCTGGAGCATTATTTCAAACAGTACATCAATGATTTCTACCGTTTCCCATTTTGTTGTTGTTTGATTAAATCCTTTTTTTCCTTTATTTAACACTGCATTTATTAAAATGGATTGCAATAATTACATACGAGTAATGATATACGTGGGATTGATTTAAATACAAATATACAAGAGAGGTCTGTATTTGGGTTGTGTCATATGCACCATAACCGAATAGACGCACAGTTTTGTCACTGGTTCTATTGCACCAGTTTTTTAATCACTGTAATACTCGGAAAAAAGATATTTTGAAACCTAACTTCCATAACGCTCAATTTTCATCTCCAAAAGAATAAAAAATCCATAACTTTGTTGGTTGTGAGGACCAATTGTTATGCAGAGTGGCGATGGCGTGGTAATTGAATTTTTTGAATGCTGTTCTGGCGGAGATATTGCTGGCATTTTGTGCTGGGCTGTGATGCCGATCGACCAAACTCTACCTAGTTCTGTATTTTTTGATCGATCCTGCATAAATGTACTTTTCAATTCATTGTGCCAAAGGTATACCGACTTACACTTTTAATTAAATATCATTATTTAAAATCAAGATATATAAAATATAGGAAATATATACATTTATGTATAAATGTGCAAACTTTCTTCATGGGGTTCTTTAAAAAAATATTTTCTAAAAAAAAAAAAAGAAGTATTAATTATCAATGATCTTTATTGAATTCTAAACTTTAAAATTATTTACAATTAGTAAAAGTAAGTTAACTACTGTGACAGCCATGTTTTTAATTTGTTTTCTGGTCTTATCGGGAAAGATCTTGTTCACTAACCGGTACATGATTTGTATTTAAGAAATTACAAATACATGTAATAGAAATAATTTGTAAAGAAAGGGGTATTTAATTGGGGTGATTGTTGACGTGACCATCTGATAAGGCGATCGCTAGATAGCGGCAAAAATTCATAATTAGCTGAAAATATCATCAGTCAAACCAGTTAATGCTGTGGGGTCAATTCTCTGTAATGATTTATGTCTTATTACGCTCGACAAAAAATATATACGTGTACTGTACCCCTAAGCAAATGTCACTATAATTTCATTTCCCTCAAGGTCAGGAAAAATGAAAATTGTATGAAAAATTAAATTATTGTACCTAAAATTTATGACGTTACCCGGGGTGTAGTCGATTAGTGTGTTATTGTTGGCGTTAGGCACTGACCAATAATTAAATATTATTTACAGTAATTATTGTTTCTACTGCTTGCCATGTGATTATGACCAATGTAAATAAACATGGAATTATGTTCTCGTAAGCGTGAAAACGAGAAGTGGGGAAAATCAAAACAAGACAGCATAAATCTGACTCACATTATACAAATATCCCCCCTACAGAAATTAATAGAAATAATGTGACGGCTTATTTTGTGAATTTATGACTTAAAAAAAACGGCCCTAGAAAATGGACATACATTGTCCAAAATGCATTAAACAAATAACAAAAATAGTATTACACATACTGTTTTATTTAATATATTTATTAAGATTTCTTCTTTCTCTTGCGCAAAAAGATTATTGCCAAAAATATAGTTTTGCACCTTATATTATTTCTAGTTTTAAGTTTCTTTCAATTTAATACATAAATGACAAAGTAAACAGATTAGATAAATAGAATTGTTATGGGAGTTAAAGGTGTATAAAATTCAATTTCATGGATTTCAAATTTAACCATGATGCATTGGTCAGGAGAAGTCATTAATCATTTGAATTGAAAATGTCCTTGCAAGATTCATTTTATTATGTTCCTATAAAATAAAGCACAAGAACCGGAAAATGAATTTCGATTCAAATTCAATACCTTGTCGTCGAGGGAAATTTATATGCATGAGTCTAGATAAAATCGCTAATGAAGTTTTTGGACAAAAATTGAAATTTAAAAAAGTTAACATCTACACATACATAGTTTAAAAACCTGAAAATAATCATAACAAATGATCAGTGATTTTAAGATAAACTTCTTTTCCCGTGTTATGCTGTTTTAAACCGCCTTAAAATACTTTATCGTTACACACTAAACCCTGCAATTCTCCTCCCTGGAAAGAAAACTTTTCGTAGTAAAATAAACACAGATTAATTGAAAGTTTCAAGTTTCACTTCCAGTTATTATCTAGTCTAGACAAAATTTACGGCCATATTACAATGTCCATACGGATCTTGAGGAAAAAGAAACACGTCGATTAAAGTAAGAATAGTTTAACAAAACTTAATATATATTGTAACCCTTAAAAAGTTCTCAACCGGAAATGTATGAATTCAAAATATAAATATTCCCATTTCCAGTTAATGGTTAAACTGGGTCGCGCGGATACACATCAACTCACCTCTGGTTCATAAACTCGTGCTCAAAACACAGAGATAAATATTTTATATTCCACAGAAATATAAACACAGTGCCAAAGCAGTATATAATTTACACATAAATCCTACATTAAATATTTCCTGAAGAGTGGAATATTGCTATACGAGTATCCCGCAGTGTGTAAGTATGAACTATATTTGTGACATTAATATCCGAACCGAACCATCACATAGAACGGTGCTTTCTTCTCTCGAAAACGTCACCGCCTATGCCAAGTGTAGGGATGTAAGTTTAACGTATGCCAGCGATAAATAACTTGGTGAAAAATTGTCCCGCGTAAAGCCGTCGCTTTACCTGGAGTTCGACCCCGCAACTAAAAAGGTCAAATTTTTGGTTCCTGGTCAGTTGTTCAGTTTGAAAGTTTTAAATTTTATCAACTTGAAATATGAGAACGATATTTTTTTTTTCGATAGATGTCTTCCCTTGACGTTTTTTAAAGTTCTTTCTACGGGTTGTTTTAATTAAATCTTGGAACCATTTAATTTATTTCAATTCGAAATCTATCATTAAAGCTATTATAATGAATATTAGTTTAGTTTGTTTCTCTGTAATATCTTTTTTTAATTCTGTAAAATGACCCGCATGTATTTGCTCTGTTTTCGCTCATAGTTTTCTTAATAATATTGCCATTTCTTCGGGGAGAGATACTGGTAATTTGTAGTAACGTCGTCTTGTTTACAATAACTAGTCAACTTTTAATTCCAACACTTAATGAGATGCCAGCGGAACACAGGCAGGCTTTATAATCAATGAACACCACACATATCCGGCAATATTCCGGACGCTCATTAACTGACCAAACATTTGTTTATAATTTGGACATTTATCGTAAACATGGAAATTGATCTCGTTAATAAGATACCTTTGCACCAGGTGCACCGATACACATTGTTCTAAATACTTCTTTTCCCATGGAGTACATTAAAAAGCATACATTTTTCATTTTATTGTGCAAGGATGAAAAAGTTATGTCCCTTTCACTTTACACAATGGCCGCAAATGGTGAAATACTCAAGTTATTAGCACGCATAAGGTATTCTAAAATTGACAATGAATAAATGTGCACTGTTTTTTTTTTTTTAAATGTTTATAAAATACTGTTTAAAGGTCAATGCAAGCTCATTAAAATCATTTCATAGTATTTGTTTATTGTGTATCAAAGTGAAATAAGAATATGAAAGGTTTGTCATGAATATCAAAGAATTTTTACGGTTCATATGCAACAATATCGTTACATGTACTCTAATCAATACTGTTATAATTTTACTTCAGTTTAAAACATTTCTTCTGTTTAATACATGTCCAATTTAGTTATTTTAACAATCACTAAATTATTCTAATGTATCAATAAGCTATACAACACTTGTAAAAATCTAATTTTACCCAAATATAATTTTTCATTTTTCCGTTTTTATTACAAAGAATTCTATGTGCTTATCGTACAAGCAATAGACATACAAATTCTAACCAGTTCAAATAAAAAAATATTTTTATATATATCACCACAATATATTAAGTGCAGGATTTGATCAATGATTTACTTGAGTAACATTTGGTTCAACCACGGGGAATCAACGTTAAAATATGTAACAGATTGTCTTTTAGATAATAAACAGCGAAATATCTTAGATACGAACATATTTAGCATAAAAAATAACTCCAATTTCCACACAAATGTAACACAAATATTATCTATATTGAAACTATTAATTTTGAATTACTTAAATAAATTCATTAACGTGACATACAGGAAAATATAATAAATAAATGTTTTTCCCCCTGAAATATCGAATAAAATATGCAATTTCGTAAATGTTGGTATGCAATAACAAAACTAAAACTCTTAATATTTTATATTTTCTGTGAAGCAAATACGTTATTATTACTTCTAAAATTAATTTAAAAAATTATAAATGTATATGAACAGTTTTATATAACTTTTCCCCCCAAACTTTAAAACTCCATTGTTGCACGTGTTCACGAGAAAGATAACGCCATGTTTATGCTGTCTACTATCGTACAACATATCTATATATATTTATATAATTCGAATTTGATATCAGCACTCTACGGAAAATAAATGTGAATTTATCTCTGGGCTCCACATGATTGGTATATTAGTGTCACTAGTTTGTCATAGCACGGGGTTAAATCTGATTTATTTGCATTTATTGTATAATTCAGAACATGTCATCACATATGTGCATCCATTTGACGAATCAGCGGTCGATAATCTAAATTATTAACAGGTCTTTAAACAAGAAAAAAATTTAATCTAGTTTTGTAAAATTATAAATCTTTTAAAGAAAATAATGTGATTTCTAAAAAAAATTAATAAAGTCGATCATGATATCTATACTATGATCCAGGGATTTTTCTAGTCTTTCTCATCTTTAACGTATTGTTTCTAGTTGATAAAAACGTTCCCATAGAATTAGAAAAAAATGTTATTAGACTAGACAAGATTGTTTGAATCATATAAAAGAAAAAAGAGAGGTATATGTGAATTTAGTTTAGTACATTCTTAATAATTTCATACTTGTCTATAATTTCATACTTGTCTATAATTTCACACTTGTCTGTTATGGGCTCTAAACTAGAAAATAAATGTTCTGTTCTGTTCTATGCCGTTTAATAGAAAGAAATCTTTAAGAAAATTGCCGTATATGACTAATTTCGTGAAAAAATACAATTATTTTCAAAAAACAAAAACAAAACAAGTCAACTTTCTACTACACATATTTGTTAGAAATATTTCTCGAACTTAAAAATACTATACGTACTTATGTCATAACGGGTCCGAATTTTATCATGTTTTGAACTATCGTCTTTACATGTACAGTTGTATAATATCACCAACGCCTACATTAAACCTTTCTTTCTCGCAAATATATGAAGAAATTGATATTTCACGAAATATCCCGTATTTCCTCCCCAAAAAAAATTATGTACAAAAATTAAAACGGAAAATTTCTTAAATCATTTTATTGTATTTTTTCTCTCAAAAATACTCATATAATAATATTTTTTTTATATAATGATGTTAAATATTTATTTTTTGAAAAAAAGAGATAATTTTATAATGTTGCCCCAAATATTCTATTTTATAGGATTTATGCTAGAGGATTCCAATCCCGTATATCAATTGTACTTATCTCAGTGACTTATCCAAGCATTTGTTTGTAATGATGCGGTGTTTGTTCCTGGATAATGTGTAAACATAGATCTTAGGGCTATCAATACTACATCTATTTGTTGTTTCTCAATCCTTCCTCTCAATTCCTAATCCAATTTTACATCGACGATTAATGAACAAAAGGCACATTTGATTTCGATAATCATGCATAAAATTGCGTGAAAGCATGTGAGAAAGGGAATAATGTACCGAAAAGGAGGAGGGATTCGGACCCTTAACTGACTGTTTAGGCGTGAAATTTTTGCCATATTCCCTTGGTAATTAAAAACTGTGCATTGGTATTAATTATCAGCGAGGAATAATTAATTTTGTTCGACTGAAATATTCATAGATATGCAAGGCTTTGACAGTATTACACATCCCGTTATGTTGCAAGTAAAGAATTGTATTAACTCTTCATCGAAATATGATCGTAGCGTCGGGGTTGCACGCAAACTTTCAAATGCATCCCTCGTCTTTGAGGTTCATTGTTTGGGTATTATATGAATATGAAAGTGATCACTTTTTGCCATAAATCACAAGAAATGTGTATATTTTAATCAATCAAATATAACCCTGTTTAGAAGATGATTCCACTTGGGAACCAATATTTGCATGATTGCAAACATCTACCGGTACTAATTATAAATCCCATAAGATATGAACGCTAGCATTAAAGGAGCCTTTAATCAGGAGAAAGTTGGTATTTTATTCTAAAAAAAAAAAAGGATAAAATATCGGTTGAATTTTAATTTTTTCAATACATAAAAATACAAGAACTTTATGAAATTGAATATTTCATGAAATAAACGTGTTTTTCCAGTTTTATTCTTGTTAAAAAGTATGGACGGTAACGATCGACTAGGATAAAACGTGTGTTTTATATCAAGTGTCTAAAAAGTAACATTCATATTCCGTCGATTTCTTCATCTGATAAGCATTTAAAATTGACATACAATTTCATCACCTAGAAATCTCTATTCATTTTATCATGTCGGCACTGCTTTATTTCTTTAGCAAAACACGAGAAAAATTGTTTTTATCTAAAACTTGAAATTAGAATCAAATAAAGTAAAAAAGGGGCGTCATCAAATTCATTTTCCAATAAATAAATTAATAAAATTCAAACTATAGCTGAAAATAAAATTTCAAAAATATATTTCAAATAATCAGACAACATAAAACAGAATTATGTCAACTAAGCTGCCCACCTTCTTTCTACAACTAAAGAAACATGATTTTCTTTTTAAAAGTTCGCTATCACTTCCTCTTATCTCAATAAGAACATGTGAATAACATGTGCTTTGTAATATTTATGAAAAGATCTATCAGAATGGACGTATTTAGGTTATGGAATTGTCAAACAAATTAGTCCAGAGTAACTGATGAAGCAGCTTTCTTCGAGAGTATCTGTTCGTTAATCAATTCCCAATAACTGCCAAAATAAGAGGCTAGTAAACTTAAATCAATGACCAATCTCGTTATGGTAATCTGACAAAATAATAACACTTGTCAAAAGGACCCGTTCCAATGAAGAAGCACGTGGGCACCATGCAACACTGCTTCCTTCATGCATGTTTGAACGGCATGCCTGATTAATGTGCTATACACAATTAAATTCGGACTTACCTGTGCAGTTTGATGAATTTCAATCAAGTTGATTTTATTTTCCTTTGATGAAGATGGTAAACATTGGATAACTGCCCATGTGTCAAGTCTAAGAACCTTTAGAATGAAGTCTGGACCTGTCAAGTCCCCAGTAATATTTTATGGTTCTGTGTATTACTATCGGTCTGCTTTGACATTGATGAGCGAACGCGTAAGGAATAGAAGACACTAACCCTCCTCTATCCCGACTTTTCATCTCCACGTGGGAGTGGTCTCTGTCAGTCACGCGCGCTACTATTGTTAATATATACTACACCACTGTTTCAAGATGGAATTAACGATCCGTTGCTGTAGCAACGAAATCAATGTTATCTCCAACAATGTTTCTACTTTTTTGCAAAAAAAATATTTTGTATACATATCTTTTTCTGAAAAGTTGCAAAACACTTACGTAGAGCGATTTTTACATATGTTACATATTGTTGAAAGCATGCCAATCTTTGAAAATACTCATACAACTTGATAAAATTATTATGATGTTTTTAAAATGAAAAGAAACAAAGTACAGAATTAAGATACTCAAAAGTTTTAATGTGATGTGCCGTCCGCTCTCTACACTCAGCAACAGAGAAGGGACTCAGAATGAAAGACACAAGAACAAAGAACCAGGTGAAGCATGCACCACAGAACTGTCCTATTGTATTAGTGATTGACACCATACAAGATACAGAGTCAAAAGGTTCTCGGCTTTTGTTACCAACTCTGGAGACTCCTGGGTATCATTATTTCCCTCAGGACCATCCTACTATACCCCCCTTTAGAATATCCACTAAATGTCAAGGAATGGGGCTTTATCAGTAAACCTTCATCTAAATATGGCTATCTAATTTAGCCTCCCGATGTCCAAACGTTCCGATATGCTCTGCTTCGGAAACGCAACCCTATGGCTTGGCAATACTATGTAAAAGTACGAGAAAATTAAGATATGCAGAACGCTGTCGATATTTCATTCACAAGTGTGAAATGTTTCCTATATCATGTCGTGCATTTACCACATATTTCATGCTGTGACAATATCTGTAGTGTTAGTTACTGAAATTTCAACAGCAAGTGCTTGATGGGAGTCAATGCATGGTATAAAATGCAACAAACCAATATCATATCTTCCTCTATCTGTGAAGGGTCATCTCTGATATGGTGCACCACTAAATGCATTATTATGGACGGTTTCAACACAGAGGGTTTTTGCAGTGTATTGAGTTCCAGCGTGAGACTGCTAGGTGGCACAAATCATAAAATTTTAAATATCGTCTATTAGTCATAAAAATGATTGTCACGAACAAGGAAAATAAAATGTAAAATATCTATTGTCACAGTTGACATTTTATACGTTTTTATCATGTAAAGAGCAACATAAAAGAAACGACAAACTAAAAATACACAATGTTAAAATATTTAATTATAATCCGAGTTTGACTGCACTGAAAGCTACATTTCAAAGAAAGATGATGTTGGCATATTCTTTCGTTCCTAGATTAATAAGATTATCCTTTAATACTGCACAGTGGTCTGGATTACAGTGTGTACTTAAGCAAATGAAGATTAACTCCTGATAAATCTTTCCTTCCCAGATCAAACGGCATTCCATTCCAAGAACCTGGTACCTTAAGACTACAGCGTCACTGTAGCATACAGGTCTTCACACGCTAACAGGGGGAATAAAAAGAACACAGGGTAAACTCAGGGTCGTTGAAGAGAGAGAGAGAGAGAGAGCTTATTTACAAATATGTATACAACCAAAAATGATCAGATATTAATTCATTTCAATTATATTTTAATTATAAAATGTTAATCAGTCTGTGAAACATTTTCTTTTCATACAGAAGTTAAATCTTAAGTTTATATACTATGGATACACATACAAGTAAATACAAAAAAAAATATTTCAAAAATTAATTTTACTGTATGACTCAAATATTACTGTAATAAACATGAGAATAAAATATACAAATTATGCAGACTGCTAACATTAGCCATAAATCTCATCAATACTACCAATATTTAACAGCGTCAAGAAGTGGATAAGAATTTAGTTCATCTTTGTGCTATTAATCTAAATATTTTGAAGTAAACATTGAAATTATATATACACAGAAATGACAAAATGTTATAATACACAACAGCTATATTTATGAACAATATGGTACTATATATTTAGCTAAGCAAATAAGTTCCCTACGACTCAAAACATATTAGTAATATTTTGTGAAAAAAAATCGACATCTCCATAATGGCTCAAACTCTACATGTACAGTCGAAAAAATATTTTCAAATCAATTTTCTAATTAACGCAGGAATGGCATATACATTTCTATTTCATTTATTCACTTAAAAGTGCATATAGTTTATTTATTCTCTAAAACGTGAAAAAATCAAGATGTCTTCTTGCACATTTGTTAAAAAAGTACGAAATATTTTATTTATAATATTTTGAACCATTCTGAATAATTTTACAATTATCTAATTTATATCTGCATTTCTGAAAAATCAAATTTTATACGCTTCAATATATGATAAAACACAATATATTTACAATATATGACAAATCACATATATTTAATTAACAGTTATTAAATATTGCGTCTGTGGAATATATTTCTAAAGAGCACTAAAATTCCTTTCTTTCTATTCAAGATTAATGGCTTAATACAATACTTTCTACTAAAACACCTTTCAAAAATATTCCTGTGTGTGCTAATATGATATTAAAATAAGTTGCGTACCAAGTAAGGCAATTTATACAATCTCACCACAATTCAAATACTTTAGATACATGTGTTTATATTTGCCGAATATTTCATATTCGAGGACAAGATAAGGCATAATAACAATATTTTTAACGACTTTATTACGTAACATATCGATCCACATCAATTTTCAATATGCAGGGTACTTATTATTGTCTTTTCTTTAAATGCATATAAAGTTATCAAAAGAATTTTTTTTTAAATACATGAATAGTAAATAGATAGTTCAAGAGGTCATTGATTTTATAATCTATATGGACAAAGTCCAAGGGAATTTGCATATACTTTATGTATTTAGCAATCTGGGTGTTTTCACTTATATGCAATCACATTTACATAATCTTGAATAATAATGAAGTAGAACATAAACAAATGACACAGCAATTCCACTCAAAATATTAAGATTTTTGAATTTTTATATTTATCTTAATACTTTTATTCTTTATTTCCTTTTTAAGTGCTAGTATGTGAAAAAATAACTTTCTATGAATACTTCTGATGGCAAAAAACATTAGATTTTATAGGATCTGATAAAATAAAATAAGTGTAAAGAAAAAAAAACAAAGGATTTTCGCATTTTAGTATCATGTAAGACAGGCATTCGTGTTATCAGAATACAGATGTAATTATATCGGATATATCTACAATAACATTAAAGTTTTCTCTCATTAACCGTTTGTATAAAATCACCTTTTATAGCCTAATTTGGAATTCATTTTCACGTTTTGTGTGGAAATAAACATCTGAAATCTAGCACCAAAGGGTCATGTGCTGCTCTTTTAGAAATCTAGAGTGGATACAAGTCGCACAAAATCTTGTTGTAAAATTATGTAGTGTAGTATTTCAGTGTCATTAATTTTTGTTGTCAAATTCTACCGTAGTCTTTATACTGAATGCAGACTCCTTATAATAGTCCCAAAGACGCCAGATTTGCCTTGATGGAAATAGACATTTACAACGAAATACAACAGTTTAATCGCCGTAAATTGGAGAACGACAAACCGTCGAACGAAGGCAAGGTTAAATGAAATGTTTTGGCCTCCCAGCCTGATAATTGCTGTGTACATTATGGTCCAAGGAAGAAGAGAAAATTGATTTTATGCAAATTGTCTTTACACCTTAGCTGTTCTGGTTCATATTCAAGACAGCTCTACTGATATAGAGGTATGTGATTGCTACATGGTCTACCATTAGTATGAGGTTGTAAAACGATATTTGACATTTTATCAGCATCTTTTAAGCATCCTGGGGTTGCAAATGTCATATAATTTCTAAACTTTTGCATACATGACTTAATTCTATTTTCAGGAAATAAATTCTAGTATATAAAGCTACATATGTACGATGCATGTATTTACCAAGCGTTGTAGAAAGAAGTCCTACTTAAAATGTACAATAACCAAAACCATCTTTATTTGATGCCGTAAGTATGAAGTTCTTTCATGGAGCTGTTTTACTTTTTAAAAAATCCATACGAAGGATTGTTTCAAATTACCTTTGGGCTCATGGTGTCCGAATCATAAACATTTATTGTTTCAAATTACCTTTGGGCTCATGGTGTCCGAATCATAAACATTTTAGATAAAACATGTCTTTACCTTTTTGGAATCCTATACAGTTTCTGTTGGTCTCTGTGACATGTCCGTTTTATTCTACAACTCTTACATGAAGTTGATAGGACTACTGCTATCGTTTTTAATGTTATCACTGAGTTAGATTCTGTGTTCATCAAATACTTATCAAAGAAAATTATTTTGTTGCAACTGCAGTGGCTAAAAAGACCAAAAATAACCTCAGAAGAGTCTACAATACTATCATAACGTCACTGCAATGTTCCTGATTTGACACAACCCTTGTTTTATTAACCAATCATCTATAATTTGTCAATTTCAATAACATTATCATTTAAAAAAAAATCAAAGGCATCACCAAAGGATTTAAAAGCAAAATATATCACAACATATTTTACATTTAATTATTATACAGTTAATATATGACACAGGTTTTAAATATCGAATTTTGAAATAACGATGATTCTGCCTTCCAATAAATTAAAGGGCATATAAGGAGCAAGAGACTTTTGAAGGTGGTTTCAAGAAATCAACCAAATGAAAACAAAAACTGAAAACACACAAAAACGTCACACGGTATAGCAAAAATCAAACTATGAGTTGATTTACTTTGCATGACCCTTTTCAGTTTTTTTAAAGCCTGGTTTTCCGTGTCCCAATAATAATATTTGTTTGTTTTGTTTTCGTTCTGAAAAAATTGCCTTAACAAAATTACTGTACTTAAAACTATTAAAAATATGGCCTAATTGAAAATTCTAACAAACAAAAGTAAGTCGAAAAATTAATAAACAGTAAATAAAACAACTTGATCTGTTTACTCTGGAAAAACGTTCTTTATTATTTTCTTTGTTTACATTTTTGATGTTCTTAATGATAATTATGAATTTACTACCCCAGTAGTGAAAATCAGCAAAATCTAATAATTTAACGTCATTATCTAAATATTATATAATAAACATATTTGTTACGAAGCATATTTGTTCTAGTCAGTAAAACATGTAAAAGTCAACATTATTTAAATTGTGGCACTTTTATTTGTCATCAGGTCTTTAAATTAACTAAAATATAGGCTAATTATAATGAACTAGACGATTTACAGTTTTGACTTTCAGCACAAATGTCAAACTGCTACACAGCTTAGAACTGAATCAGAGAAATACTGAGCAAATAGTGTATATATTTTCTTCCTTGTGCGCTCGCAATAAGGACAAATTTCCACATCTTTGGTATACGTTCAAACATGTATATTTAAGATTGTTTATATCCTTTTTTTAGACTATTTATAATAGTTTAATAGGTAAGACTCATGAGAATATAGCAAGAGGATGCCGACCAACAGAGTAGGTATTAACACATTCAACTCGAACACACCTGGAGCCTGTCACACAATGTTGTAAAATAAACTATTTAGTTTCATTACCACTAATTGTCTTGTCCAATGTATGTAATATTACACGTCAGAGTCCGACCACAACATCATGTTCATGTACAAATGGTACTTCCGGTTGCATGTCATGACTTTTATTCCATCTGCACGTGCTAAGGGTTTCAAGTTAGAAGTTTAAATTGTTATACTGATTTTCTTATAACGGTTTGTTTAAAATTTTATATTTAAAAGAATTAATTAATTTTTAACATTAAGTTGTAGCATCCCACAAAAAAATTACTTCATTATTATTACATCTCGATGAAAGATATCACGTTTAATTTTTGCTTAATGTACACAGGGGACTCTTCCTCGACCTGAAGTGTTTTCTATTTAAACTTTTATGGATTTTAACTCATCAATTTCATTTAACTTAATATTTTTGCCAGCCTGTTTTAACAATATGTGTTACAGAAAAGTAAATGAAACGGAACTGAGTAGCACATCACGTTTAAACAATGAATTATATATAATATAGCATATAATATTATAGCTTGCAAATTCCACTGAACAACTTTAACCGATACAAAAGAACGCCATCCATGGCGCAAACATCAATTAGTCTGTAGATGCAATAAATTTGGTAATTTAGCTGCTGAATTGTGCGTATTGATGTATTCAAGGACATATCAAATTTTACAAAAATCCTGACATGATATTCCTTTCATTGAAATTTTGATCACCATAGTTTCTCCCTTCTAGCAAGTGTTAAAAGTGTATGATTGATTTTATTTTCGAATTTTTCACTCATATAGAGACGTCACCATATACCGGTGAAGGTCTTAAAATTTAGACCTTTACTCGGCACTCAGGGCCACTGAGCAGTGAGGGTTCTTTATCGTGCCAACGCCCACCGTGACACGGGGCTTCGGTTTATAAGGTCTCATCCAAAGGACCGCAACTTTCACTTCAAAGTGCTGCGTGCTTGGCGAAGGAACAGTTGCTACCTATTTTTTATCGACTTAGGTCAGTCGCGGCCGTGATTCGAACACACGACCTTCCAATCACGGAGTAAAAGTATATGAAGAAAGTATTAAATTATTAAAGTATCATATTTGAAATAATTTGTTTCTTTTAATAATCAGATATAAGAAATGCTGAAACGTGATTGAATTCTATCGACAAGCCACCCACTGTAAAGTTGAAAGTATAGGTGTCCTACTTAGGTACTTTTAAACTGAGACTGGATCCAAACAAAAAATAAGAGAACAATATCCGGACCATGCAGCATAATTTATAATAAAGGAGCTTGAAAATAATTATAAGAGCAAAAGAAGGCATATTAATTTAGAGCTGAAAGGGAAAAACGAATGTTTTAAACTCATTGTGACCCTGGTAATAATGTGATGGCCTCAAGGTTAGATACCCACGGTAACCACAAGAGCTGCCACTATGCCAAGTTTAGCGTATGAACACTAATACCACTCTTTTGAAAGATAGCCAAAATAAAACGGATCTAGAGTAAATCAAAAATACAACAAAAAGTGGAAATATAGTAGTTCCAATTAATATCTATTTTAAGAACCTCTGCAATTCAAATAATGACAATGAAGAATTTAACATAATTACATTTTTAAAAATGTTAACAATAGTCACAACTTTATGATTGTGCCAATTAGAATCTGGCCTATGAATGTCCTTAATTTTGAATTCTAGTTTGCTTAAATGACAATGATATATTTACGATTTTTAAAATGTTCCCAACTTCCTCTTTACATTGATACAAACGTTTCAAAAACGATTAAACACTTTCTTTAAACATAGAGTGTCCATCGAATATAAAAAAGGACCATCGAGACAGACTGCTTTATAGCAAGATGATCAGGAGACTATTATCGAACTTAACATACAAATTTAAAAAAAAAATTCCCCATATATATATATTTAAGGCACATTAAGGGAATCTTTTCACCATTTCTATGAGGAAAACATATAAAAAGCAATTTGTGACCTTGACTACTGACCTTGAAAATCAAGAAATTCAGTAAAGCAACCCTTCTTAAACATATCTTCCAGCATAACAAAACAATTGAAAAATGTCATTGAAAAACGCCTTTATTATCATAAGAAAAAATATCTATAAAAATTCTGTCTTTATATTATCTACAAAAGAGAGATTTTCCAGACAAATTTGTATTGAAAACTTTTAACAACTTGTCTTTAATAACGAAATCTATTTCTTTCTGCTATTAAGCCCAAGTGGGATTTTTCTCACGCTTATTACAGTCTTTTGCATAAAGTAAATGTTACCTAACAAAATTGCATTAAGAGTTACTTACATTTTCGTTAGCAGCTCACACAATGGGTGACATCATATTTTTTTTCAGTTTCTTCTAAGATCCAGGTCTTCAGTCTTCTTCGCAGGACCACACTTTAAGTCACAGAAATCATTAGTTCCTGTAGACCCGTTGTGTCCCTAAATTATGTACAAGACATCTAACTTGTTGTATTGGTACCTTTAATTAGGTCGGGCAGGGTTTATTCGATTTTACTTTTATTAATTCAATTATTTCTCTGTTGTAGGATTTTGGAACATTGAATCGTTTCACTGTGGTCTTTTCATACGATGTATATATATATAAGATCGAGATTTTTTCAATGTTATCTTCACAATGTTTACATGGGAGTAATGTACAAATAATATTGTTATAAATAGCTGTACTATAATAAATTGAAGTTTTGGAAAATTTATATTTATCAAAGACATGTAAATCAAAGACATGTAAATAAATGAATAAAGTCAGAAGGATTAAAACAAGCTAAATATCTGAATTATTCTTTAATGTACACATTGAAATGTTTCTCATATTTATTTGAAGCTTTTTTTACTGTAAATTTCTGAATCTAAATTTATATAAAAATTCTAACGGTCATCAAGGGTTTACATATTGATAGACAAATTTTGGAAATATTCACACCAAAGAACATTTGCAATAGGTAAATGACTTATTTTATTCATACGCAAATAACATACAACGCATTAAATATTTCATGTTGTAATTATAATAAAATGTTATTTGGCATTATCATTACTAGTATGTGTCTTTTTTGGTATTTTTCCCCCCATATCGTTTATTTATTTATTTATTTATTTATTTATTTATTTATTTTGATGAGGAGCATTGTATACTAACTCTTCAAATATTGTATGGAAGTCGATTGACAGAGTACCATTTGGATTGGAGAAATCTTGAATAAATTGGAATATTTGCACACCATGCTATTAATATTCTTTTTTTCTCTTTAATACTTTGATGACAACTTTTACAAAATAATCTTTTTCATTTCGATTTATTTTATGGTCATACTTAAACTTACTGTTTATAAGCAAGAAGAAGTGTCTCTTATCAAAAGCTCCAGGGAGTGTGTCTCCGATTGCCCCACTACCATGGAACAGCAGAGTTCTTTCCATTATAACGTTTCTATCTTAAAAATTTCTTTCTATATGTATGTTATGGGATTACGACAATGCAGATGCTAGATTAGAAATAAAGGAAATCAGTCTTATTCTAATTTTTAATTAGAGTTTTTGTAATTTTTGTTACCAGCGGTGAATTTTTGGCAAAAATTCGTAACACCGTAAACAATGAAGGGTTTAAGGCAGGATGAAGAATTCAACCATTTTTACACCCCCATTATAAGTAACAATTTGGCTGTTTTCTTGTTATCTGAAGCATGGAAGATGCTAGTGCCAATTTTGTTCGCCCCACATTGTCACGTAAAACCCAGAGTGAACGTGTTTTTGTGGAATTTATAGTCATTTATCTGAAATTCCAAGACTTGCAATGCGAAGCTGTCAGATAGCGTATCTAACGTGGCCAAATACATATCTTTTGGTAGAAAGATTTTGTCGCTGACTTGACATTAGTGGTCTGCCAAAAAAGAATTGGATTTCGGTTCCTTTAGATAAGATGTTATCGTCAATTCTCCCCAGTCCACATGGCAAATCATAAAACGCTAATAACGAGGCATTTATAAGTCTAGAAGGTTATATACAAGAGTGGAGGATGTCTGTCAAACGTACAGATTTAATTTTATTTTAATTTCTGAAAACTCTTAATCCCTAGCGGTATATAAGATTGTCTTGAACATAGCTTACTTTGAAGGAAAGGCTTAAATTGGGAGCTGTCATTCTTTCGTAGATTTTCATTAACGGATGCAAATTCACATCAAATATTGAGCTATTATCCAGTTAGGAAATTCAATCTCGGTGTGACTACATGTTCCGTTCTTCATTTTGAGAATAAAATTGACTCGATGGGAAGGTTCATAGTTCTACAATAAATCGAAAGATTCGCAATAAAGGAAAAAAGTTAGAGCTTGCTAAATGTAATGATCAAAGATGTGTAATGACAGGTATATTTGTATAGTGACAAGAGAGGACACTTTATTTAACACCAGGAGTCATATATACATTACTCCTTTACGTTTCCTTTAGATGACCCGATGAGAGACTCCAGAATTGTCAACAAACGACGGTTTCGCAGACAAGTCCGGTTGACCTTAAAAAGGGTCACCGAAGTCCACAAAAATCGAACCCGACACAAAAAAATAATTAGCATGCTTTTTAAGATAAGCTGCCTCTTTATATACAATATGCTTATTCATAAGTGATTTTTTTTTTCAAAATATATACAGGCTATCCGTCCCTCAGAGTATCACTAGTTTATATTACGCTTGCAATTGAATAATAAAATGTATGTAGTTTTCAAATGAATAGAATAATGTTGTCTAAATGTCTGCAATGATTTATATACATATGTATATACATGTACCCAATAAATACTTGGAATATTTATTTATAGATACTCAATAAATACTTGGAATATTTATCAATATTTATCAAGAATTTCGCGTATACTTTGCAATTTCAATATATTTTATATGGTAGTGGATTAATACAATCAAGATTGGTCAATATATAAACTGGACGTTTTCCAGTGATAAAATCAAGTCATCTCGGTAGTGGTCATCCGTCTGTCATTGTGGACTTTGGAGAATAAGCAAACAACTCGTCCTCCGCTTTACAAATTGCTTCACAAAATTAAGCCATCTTTATCATTACACTGTTTATACTTCTGTGAAACCTCATTGTTATTTTCTGCGCAATAAAATTCTAAAAATGAAATATTCTTGCATATACTATTTAATAAATAAATGATTATGTTGTATGCTTAAAAGGGCCCTGATTTGGCATAAATTAATATCTATCTATCCATTCATTCAAACAGTTTATGTTCATAATATTATGTCAAAGTTAAGACATTCTTAAATTCCTTGTGACAGACAAACATATCGTATTCTTTAAGGAATTAACTGAAATCCCCTACTACGTATTTATCCAGCATTGTGACTTGGTTTTAGTTTTGGAAGCTAGCCTTTTTATTTCCGCACCTTGCGGTGTTGAAAATATTTTGTATACGTTAATGACAAACTAACGCACCATATGCGTTTTCAACTAATCAGGCACTTTTTATATAAAGAATACATAGAAAAAAAATGAAATTAATTCAGAAACCAAGTGAGACTGGATTTATTGATTAAAAGTCCCACCAAAGGCAGAAATAAAATCGATGGATAATCTTTAAAATACATTATTATTATTCTCTCCATGGGCGAATGTAAACACCATTCTTCTACTCAATCATAAGGATATTATTAATCCAAATTATCTACCGGCGAGTAATAGATGAGTAATAAACTAGTTGCTTTTTCATTCAGAAAAATATAAATTCTCTACAATCAGAAAAAGCAAGAGTCAAAATGTAGGGGTGAATGAATGAATTGTTATTCCGTTTATATATCCTTCTATAATTGTTACGTCTGTGTGGTAAGGCGATGTAATGGCGGTTTCCATGGAAAATGATCGACTTAAAGGACCGACCGTCTTTTGAAATAAAATTTTGCGTATATATATTCAGAATCAATTATACTTATTGACCACAAATATGGTGCCTTCAGAGGAAATTCAGAACCATTTACATAATTAACGCACTGCGCACTCAATACTCTGCAAACCAGCGCGAAACATAAAAACCCAAACACGAGGACATAGGACGTATTAGCCAGAAAATTGGCTTCCATTTCCTCGTCTTATTAAAGTAACGTTCTTTACATATGTTTACGGTGAAAATATTCATGACTTGTTACTTAAGTATGAGAAATTTACATGCATTCAGGTAACATTACTGTTTGTCACCAGTTTTTTGACAGGGGTCTTCAATCATTTCTCTACTGCTTGACAGCTGCCTCGGGCTACGGTACAAAAACAGCGTGCCCTCAGCTCATATCTACAGGGACCAGTATCATACACGAGTTTACATATACGAGTTTTTTTTTTTCTCTCCCTGGGGAAAAACCAGCTTGTGTTTGCGCCAAAAACAATGCGTACATTGTAAACATTAAAATAACCTCTTTTATTTCATTTGGTTTATTGTTTCGAGTAGGTGGTTAACTGATAAAACCGTAATTTTATTTACAGACTTCTCTCTGTAAGGAAAAGATGTTTTAATTTGTATTTCTTTCTTAAACAGCAAAAAATATTTCATGTAGTTTTCCTTTCTTGCAATACTTTTTTTTCTTTCAAGATTTGTGTTGAGTTTTGAACTTCTCCCTTAAAAGGTCGTATTGTTTCTTGTTCGTAGTAAAAGGAGTTGCTATAAACGAAACGAGGCGCATCGAAGAGTGACGGTAGAGACCACTTTATTGCGTCAGTGATTGATGTCCAAGAGGGGTAATTAAGACATAAAACGGACACGTTTCTCCGATGACCCAGTCAACCAAAGATATACATGAATTAATTATGTAGTCATTTACGCACTGAAGTACATGTAGAGCATGGCATTTTTTGCACCTTGGCCCATTGTAACCTTTCTATCCCGTGACGAGCGAATTTTTGGTGCTATACCTAGAGAGACATTGTTAGGTGGTGACAGAGTCCATGCATTGCCTGAAGGTCTTGCTGTTGGAATGCTAACCATATCATCAGGAGTGAAGCACCGTGGACAGCTCACTATTCCAATAAGTTCAAATGGTGGTAAAAACGCATGTTGTTATGACGCGGTAAAGAAAATGCTAACCAGTCTGATGAAGATGTTACCCGGGACCCAACAGAGGAGACCGGCGTGGTCCTGTCACACGGTGACAGCTTGGAGATCCATGAATGATTGACACTTCCCGCCACGTTCTTGAGCAGACTATCACCCTGAAAATGTTATTGATATAGATCACACTCGGCCCATCAACAACAACTGTTATTGATATACATCACATAGAAACTATCAACCCCCAAACGCCTCATTTGATAAACTACAGACAACTTATCTTCTTGTCGTGTCACAAACATAGTACTCTTGGGAACACGCTGTCTTTCTGTTATTTGAATGTTGGCCTGTACATTAAATTTTTGAG